CCGCTGAGACATCACAAAGCCATGAGCATTCCGCTATTACATCAAAATTCCTATATGACATCACAAAGATGTGAGCATTGTTCTATGACATCACATTCCACATTCCGCTGTGACAACACATTGATGTAAGAATTCTGCTATGACATCACAAACATTTGAGCATTCCGCTATGACATCACAAACATTTCAGCATTTTGCTCTAACATCAAATTCTGCATTCAGCTGTGACATCACGTTCCGCTATGACATCAAATTTGAAAAAGTGGGGGCGAAAGACTTGGATCATTTATGGGACATATAAGACAAGACCTGCAGAAGTTGATGAATTTAAAGTTGAAAATTGCAAACACTCCCAACGTAAACCAGTCCTTGGTTTGTCCCTTTTGGGCTAATGTAGAAACATGGCTCAAGCTATGGGCGGTATTTGCAGATGAATAAAGTTCAATCTAAGGGTCACAAAAGTATAACAATAACTGTATGAAGGTTATTATACACTACTGAGATCAGACATATGAATATTATGTTACATTCTGCCATTAGATCGTCCTAAATGTTACATACTGGACATTTAAAACTTAGAGCAAAACAAAGTAAGGTATTTAAAATGTTCTCGTAAAAAACATTATTGTATACCTGACATCACATGGATGTAAGAATTCTGCTATGATATCACAAACATTATAGCATTCCGTATGACATCACAAAGATGTGCACATTCTGCTATGACATCACAAAGATGTAAGTATTCCGCTGTGACATCAAAAAGCCATGAGCATTCCGCTACTACATCAAAATTCCTATTTGACATCACAAAGATGTGAGCATTGTTCCATGACATCACATTCCATATTCTGCTGTGACATCACATTGATGTAAGAATTCTGCTATGACATCACATACATTTGAGCATTCACTATGACATCACAAACATTTCAGCATTCTGCTATAACATTGAATTTTGCATTCGGCTGTGACATCACAAAAATGTGCGCATTTTCCTCTAACATTGAATTCTGCATTCGGCTGTGACATCACATTCTGCTATGACATCACAATTGAAAAAGAGGGAGAAAGACTTGGCTCATTTATGGGACATATAAGACAAGAACTGCAGAAGATGATGAATTTGAAGTTGACTTTTTTTTAATAAAAATCTAGTATGTAACATGAATGTTATATATAATGTACAATAACACTGATGGGAGCCATTCTGTTCTAGTTTCTACTTTGGCTTTGAAAGGTCCAGTATGTAGGATTAAGTGGCATCTTGCGGTGTAGTTGCAGTTTGCAACTCTGTTGCTTCACCTTGCCCTTGCAAGGTCTAACTGCAATGGCTGAAAAACTTGTGAAAATTGCAAATTGCGAACATTTTAAAAACATTAATTTGTTTTGCTCTGACATCACATGGATGTAAGAATTCTGCTATGACATCACAAACATTACATCATTCCGCTATGACAACACAAAGATGTGAGTATTACGCTGACATCACAAGTTCCATATGACATCACAAAGATGTGAGCATTCTGCTATGACATCACAAAGATGTGAGCATTCCACTGTGATGCGATCTGCATTCTGCAGTGACTTCACAAATGGATGTGAGAATTTGGCTATGACATTACATACCACATTCTGCATTTCGCTGTGACAGCACGATCAGCTATGACATCAAATTTGAAAAAGTGGGCAAAAGACTTGGATCATTTATGGGACATATAAGTAAGTAAGTAAAACTTTATTTATATAGCACCTTTTTGACACAGAGATCCAACGTGCTTTCCAAACAACAAATAATAAAACATAACACACAAAAACATAAACACAGAGAGCATGTAAAAACAAACAAAGGAAGATAAAACAAAAGGGAGGGATAAATTAAAAGAGACACAACAGATGAGAAAACAAACAGGGAGAACTATAAAAAGGCTTGCCTGTAGAGGTGGGTTTGAGCAGCCACTTAAAACAGTCCACAGATTCAGTGAATCTAAGTGATTGGGGAAGACTATTCGACAATGTTGGGGCTAAAACAGCGAAGGCACGGTCACCTTTAGATTTACAGGTAGAGCGTGGAATGGATAAAAGGCCGAGATTTGAGGAGCGGAGTGGCCGAGGAGTGGAATGAAGAAAAAGGAGATCTGAAATGTAACTGGGGGCAAGGTCATGAAGTGCCTTATATGTAATCAGTAAGATCTTATGATTGATTCTGAATTTTACAGGAAGCCAATGAAGGGATGCAAGACCAGGAGTAATGTGGGACCGACGGCTGGTTCTGGTTAAAAATCTGGCGGCTGCATTTTGTACTAACTGTAAACGACTTAACGAAGCCTGACTGAGGCACGTGTAGAGGGAGTTACAGCAATGTAGACGGGAGAAAATTAAGCTGTGAATTAATTGTTCCAGATCACTGGAGGACAGGAATCTTTAGATTTTTGCTACGTTTCGTAGCTGCAGGAAACAGGACTGCAGTTTTGTGACATGAAGATCAAATGTCATATGCTGGTCGAACATGATACCCAGATTCTTAGCACTGGGTTTGATATTAGTGCGTAATGGACCAAGAAACTGATCAACTGCAGTGACAAATTTATCAGGGCCAAATAAAATGATTTCAGTTTCATCCAGATTTAAGTGGAGAAAATTTAGAGACATCCAGTCTTTGGTGGCAGCTAAACTCTCATGGAGAGAGGACAGTTGATTCAGGTTATTGGGTTTCGCAGAAAAGTAGATCTGTGTATCATCCGCATAACACTGGTATGACATGTCATTGAAGTGGCTGAACAAATGACCCAGAGGAAGCATGTACAAGGAGAACAGAACTGGACCAAGAACCGACCCCTGAGGGACACCACACAGCAGGGGAGCGGAAGAGGAAACATGATTATTAATGCAGACATTAAAGACTCAATTAGTCAAGTAGGAATTAAACCAATTTAAGGCTGTACCAGAAATGCCAACCCAGTTCTGTAATGTATCCAGTAAAATGGCATGATCAATGGTATCAAAGGCTGCAGTCAGATCAAGAAGAATAAGGATGGAGCTTTCACCTTTGTCAGCATGCATAAGAATGTCATTAGAAACTCTCAGTAATGCTGTCTCGGTGCTATGTTTTTGGTGAAAACTAGATTGGAATTTGTCAAAGATTCTATGACCTTCTACCAGCTTCAGGAGCTGGTCCGCGACAATCTTTTCAAGGATTTTAGATAAAAAGGGAAGTTTGGAGATAGGTCTATAGTTTTCTAACTGGTCCGGATTGAGAGAGGGTTTTTTAAGAAGTGGCTGAACACTGGAACTTTTAAAGAGGTCAGGTACGGACCCTGATGTGAGAGAGGAATTGATGATACAACATCAGGCTAGGACCTAAGACAGGGAGTATAGTTTTTAAAAATGTTGTAGGAACTATGTCACAGGGACTGGAGGAGGGACGCATCTTATCGACAGTTTTTGAAAGGATCTGTAGAGAGATCGGAGGAAAATCAGACAGTAAAATAGGACGACTAAACGTTGCAGGGGGAAGAACAGTTAGAGGAAAATGAGACCTTATAGCATCGATCATGCCAATGAAAAAAAACAGGAATTTTTTTTTAAGATGTCAGTATTCCGCTGCGACAGCACAAAGACATCAGCATTGCGCTATTACATCAAAATTCCTATATGACATCACAAAGATGTCAGTATTGCGCTGTGACAGCACAAAGACATGAGCATTTCGCTATTACATCAAAATTCATATATGATATCACAAAGATGTGAGCATTCCTCTGTGATATCATAATCTGCATTCTGCAGTGACTTCACAAATGGATGTGAGAATCCGGCTATGACATCACATTCCACATTCAGCTAACACATCACAATTGAATGTGTTCATTCCACTATGATGTAACAATTGGAAGTGTGCATTCCGCTGTGGCATCACATTCTGCATTCTGCAATGATGTCACAAAGATGTGAGCATTCCTCTAGGACATCACATTCCACATTCCGCAGTGACATCACAAATATTTCAGCATTCACTATGACATCACAGTGAGAGAGTGATGAGCAAATACCTTAAATCCCTAGCTGGAGCCTACAGGTGCATTTTGAGGTTGAGCTGTTGTTTTTCAGCCACAACAGTTTGCCCTTGGAAGGTGACGGTGAAGTTGTAACTGCAACTACACCACAAGATGCCACTAAATCCTACATACTGGACCTTTAAAAGTAAAAATAGACACTATGGAGAACTTTAAATTCATAATCTTCGACAGGTATTGTCTTATATGTCCCATAAATGATCCAAGTCTTTCTCCCAAATGACTGCTATCGGAGGCTAATTAACATTTGAGAATGCGGTCCATCTGTTCTGTAACAGAGTATCATCACTAAAGGATGTAATACAGGAAAGGTGTCCCAAAGCACCCCATATGTTCCTTTTGCCCAGAGTGGATACTTACAAGGCAGTGAGCCAGGAAAAAGAATGTTATTTGTTCAATAAGAGGGGCATTTAATTAAATTTTGATTTTATTCACAGAAATGGTTCAACATAGCTAAAAAATTGCTTAAAATAAAACCCATAGATTTGGTTTCATTATTAGGAACTGGAGAAAAGGATGTCATTATTTGGAGAGCGTGTTTTCTATAGCTCTCTAGGGTATCACGGATGAGTCATCAGGCAATATTTATGGTTAGCCCAAAAAAAGAAAACACTATACACGCTTTTTTTAAGGGGGTGATGGCTTTATTTTAGGTTAGTTTTCATCCACATAAACCTGCATGAAGGGATTAAAATCTGGATGTATATACTCCACAATAAACTAGAAAGATTATATGTCTCTTGCCACAAATTCACACAGTCCCATCATATGAGAAAATATCAGGCAAACGTGACCTCTGAGCTGTTCTGCCAAGAAACATTTTCACACCATAAACATTTGCATTTTAAACCTTAGTGACATTCTAATAGGCTTCCCAATTGGGAAGATTACAACTTTAATTGATTGCACTTGACCTCTGTTCATGCCAAAGCTGTTGAAAATAATTTCTTCGGCTGTATATTCAGTATGTTTTCCAGTCTTGTATAAAGTACTTGAAAGCGATACTTGAGTAAAAGTATAAGTATCTTACCAGAAGATGACTTTGGTAGAAGTTAAAGTCGCCTTTTAAAATATTACTTGAGTAAAAGTCTTAAAGTACCTGACATTTAGTGTACTCAAGTATCAAAAGTAATTGTCTGATATAAAATGTACTTAAGTATTAAAAGTAAAAGTAAAAGTATTTTAAAAAAAGTGAGCGGTTAGAATTTTGATTATGAAATTTATTGTGGCTTCCTTACAGTGAAAGCATAATATCCAGGCACAGGAGAAAGAGGCTTGAACTTTTTCAACTTTAAAAATTAAACTTCTGCCATCATCAATGGTGACTAGCTCTCTCTCTCAACCTCCACATCTTTCAACTGGCATGAAGTTATTAACTGAAACTGAAAAGGTGTCTGTTCATCTTCAGAAGAAGTTGGTTTTCAAAGTTGCGAGAATTCAGTCTCGCTCTTCTTGGACTGAAGACAAGTCCTGCAATGCTGAAGAGCCTTTCACAGGCCGCTGAGGCAGGTAGAGGAGTGTTCAGCTTCACGGAAAGCTTGCACACCGCTGGGAAGGATTTCAGCAAGTCCATGTGATCGGCTGAACATGCGAGGTATCCATCCAGTTGTTTGGCACCATCTTGCGCTTGAGACGACAGCAGGGCAGAGAAAAAGTCATCGTCATCAGACGAACTGGACCTGTTGGCATCTGCTAGCTGAAGGGAGGGTTCTTCGATGTGATGTCTGATGTAGTCAATTCCTGAAATAGTGACAATGAAAATCTAAATTATAGATCTAATGCAACTCTCTAACATGTTATGATCCTAAATTTATGTTTTAATTTAAGGTTTGTTATTTTAATTTTATGTACTACCCATGCATCCATAATTCAAGATTTATTTATTAGTAACCACAGATAAATTTGTTGTAAGGAAAGATTCAAAATATACACTTATTTTTTCACTATCCCCATGATGTCTTACCTGTTTTGATTGTGGATTCATCCTTTGTCCACGTTGTACGGAATTTTGGAAGTAGAATTGCAGCTGCAATTAACTCAGGGTCGCCTGACATGTGGCCAAAACAGTTCTTGATTCCCACCTGCAAGGCAAGTTTATTTGTATAGCACATTTCAGCAACAAGCACTGACACAAAGTGCCAAAGTAACACATTTTGAAAAGGACATTTGAATATAATTTAAATTAATCATTAAAGAGTTAAGACAATATAAAATAAATTCAAGAATAAAAGTTACCTGTAAAGCATCCACCAGAGGCTTGCAGTACTTTAGTGGCAACTTGACTCTGTCAAGTTTGATGGTCAGCAGGTTGATGGTTGGAAGCAGCCATCCCATCATGGCATTTGCTTCTGCTTGCAAGATGTTGGTTGCCTGCGCAACTGGGCTCATGACAGCGGCATACTCTGTGAGGAAGGCAAGTTCAGCTGGACTGAACCTGTGATGAAAACAAAGACACAACACCATTGTTTATAATAACACTAAAACCATTTCATTGGATTCAACAAAATTGCTGGATGAATAATTAAGTAAAATGGATCAATGATAAGTGGAAGTTCGGACACAATGTTAAACTTCTCATTGTCCAAAAAAGGATTGGAAAAATAAATAGTAAGACTTCATGTTCAATTATGATGAATTAAAACATACATAATTCTTACTTACATTTGAACCTTTAAAATGGTGCAGATGCCTCTGATGGCCCCCTCTCCCTTATCTTTCATTATTCTCAGCAGTCTTTCCACTGCCAGGAACAAGGAGTTCTACCTTGTACCATTTGGGCGCAGCAGCTGGAGGGAGCAAGCATCTTCAACAGTTTCTGCTGCAAGGGTGGATCTTCCACATTTGTTCCAAAGTGCATTACACTTGCCAAATGTTGAACGGTACACTTTCTTGTACGCCTCATTGGATGTTGCTTTCATGGCATCAACTGTAGCTATTAGGTTGAGTAGGTGACAAGCACAGCGCTGGTGCTGTGGGAGCTGGAACTCTAAACCATCATCTTCATTCAGGAGCGCTGACACGTCAACAAACTCCACTTCTTCATCCCCTTCTTGATCCTCTTCATCCTCTCCTCGTTGAGATGCATTATCAGGATCACCATCACTTCCGACTGCATTGTTGTTCTCATCTTCACCAAAAACTTGGAAAGCTTTTATGAAGTTGGAGCCGTTGTCGGTTGTTGTTCGCATAGTCTTCCCCCGAATTTCAAACTCGGAGTGGATGTCATTCAGGGCGCTTGCCAACACATCAAATGTGTGCGAACCTCTCAGTTGTTTACAGGCTAGGGCTGCTGAGCATCTTTTGAGACTGTTGGGGTCAATCCAATGGCCAGTAACGCCAATGAAGCTCCGCCTTCTGGCAGACCAGCAGTCAGTAGTGGTGGCGATATGGTCGACTCCCCTCATGGCCTCAGTCACCGCCTTCTTCATTCCCATGGAGGCATCATCAGTCATGGAGCACAGGGTCAGCCGTGATATAATTTTTGCATTAGGCTGCAGTTCCTTCACAAAATCTCGAAATGGTTGTTGTTCAAAAACATGGAATGGCTGGAGCCCTTGCACCACATACTTCAGGATGGCTTTGTCAATGGACCTCTGAGACACAGTCCTGGTGTTCACCAGTGTGGTCTGCTTAATGGTAGAGGTGTTGGGAAGAGTCTCAGGAGCCCTTTTTCTCTTTCTTGATGTCAGCTCTTCATATTTTTTGAGGTGGCCTACATGCTTTCTCTGAAACAGTGAGAGAAAGACATTTTATAAGCAAAACAACTTAAGCTACAGGGTTTAAAAGTTACTCAACAATAACAGTCAAATGACCATTATTTGATATTATCTTTACCTAATTGCAAGAATTATAAACACTCATGGAAGCCCAACCCTACCACCTAGTCACTAACACTATTAAGTTAACTCGGACTTAAATTCATTGCTGTTGTTAGTGTTGTGTAGCCTGGACTGTATTTGTGTTAACTGGTCGTTTGTCTCCTGTTTGTTACTAGCTTACCTACAAAAAAAATTCACCAATTCGTTGTGTGGCAATAAAAGCACTTTGACTTTGATCAATATGCAAGCCTACATTCACAATATATATAACATTAGCCTGACAATAGCCGATAACAGTTGAGTTTTGAGGTAATTAATTCAAAGCAAATCTCAAGTTTAATAAAATGCATTGTGCTTTTGAAGACGTGAGTAATCCTGAACGCTCCTCTGTAAACTGCCATTAATTAGCCTACAGTGGTCTAAAAAAATTCCTCCACTGGTGTAACGCTAATTTACCTAAGGAAATATTAGGCTATACCAGAAACCGTTATTAACCATTTCAGTATTATGGACATGTCTTCAAGAGTTTTGTGTTGAATTAACTCGGAGGAAAAATCATTGGTGTTGTTAAATATCTGCACATTGGCTAATCCGAAAAGTTAACTAGCACACGTTAGCCAGGCTATCACATTGGCCAGATATCTGAACAGGCTTATGATAACTAATTCGTGTTAAATAACGTTGAAATTATGGCTTCATTGAATAAAAATTAATTTAACCTACCTCGATGTGCTTCTTCAGGTTGGACGGGGAGTTTTTGAATGCCAATATTTCAGTGACTCTCGGTAGGCATAACAGGCACTTAATCCGGTAGGAAGAATCTTTCACTCCAACGTAAGAAAATATTTCTTGCAAATACGGCCACGGGTGTGTAACGTTATCTTCATTATCTTCGTCACCACCACGGAGTTCACCAAGTTCGCCACTGTAGTCGAGATGCTCCTCATCTGCTACCGGAGTGGTAACGTTAGCAGCAGAGCCTGCAGCAGGTGCTTCCATGATGGCATCAATAATGTGACATGCCCGGACAAGCGGGACTACTTCTTCTTCGCGCTACGTCACCAACTCAAATTTCTTCTGATTTTAATTTGTAGTAACGAGTAACTAAGATGGTTAGGAGAAATGTATCGGAGTAAAAGTACATATTTTATTTAAGAAATGTAGTGGAGTAAAAGTGAAAGTTGTCAGAAATATAAATAATGAAGTAAAGTACAGATATGTGAAATTTCTACTTAAGTACTTGTACTTCGTTACATTACAACACTGATGTTTTCTCAGAAATGGTTTGGAAATATTTTGTCATTGGGCCATTTTCAATATTTTATGAATAGATTATTTGACTGGCAGCAGGTTAAACCTCTATAGAAGACAGAAATAAAGTAATAAGTGCAAAGTCCTGATGTGATATAAAGACTGATCTCTCTGTCACAGTATCAGAAAAAACTATACATTATCAACTGTATCTATTGCATAGAGTAAGATTTTATTTTATTTTTCAAGCAAATAATTACTGGTCTGCTTGCAGGAGTAGTCTCTTGATATTCAGTGTTAGAAGGACTCTGCAGTATCGTCAGGTATAAGCTAAAATTGCCAGAAACATCATTGTCAGCACTACAATGACATTGTTTGACATAACCCACTCTACAAGGAATTGTATCTTTGAAATGTCAGTGTCAAACAAACTGTCAACATGTTTGTCTTGTAGCCAACACCCCCCCAAAAAAAAAACAAACAAACAAAAAAAAACAAAAAACAACATGTTATTAGATAAACAAAATAATGGAACATGTGGGTAAGTGAGCACTTGAGGGTACAAACAACATAATTATCAGGTTAAAACTGAGAATTTTCAACCATTTACAGACCACAGAAGGATTGATTGGCTGAACAGCATCACAGTTTTCAATATGAGGGATTGCTTGGGAGTGTTGCAGGGAGTGCAAGATTGTGACGGGAACTTCGTATTGAATGGTAGGTGAGTCTGATCCTCAGGGAATTAAAATACAGTGGGTACGGAAAGTATTCAGACCCCTTTAAATTTTTCACTCTTTGTTTCTTTGCAGCCATTTGCTAAAATCAAAAAAGTTCATTTTATTTCTCATTAATGAACACTCAGCACCCCATCTTGACAGAAAAAAACAGAAATGTAGAAATTTTTGCAAATTTATTAAAAAAGAAAAACTGAAATATCACATGGTCATAAGTATTCAGACCCTTTGCTCAGTATTGAGTAGAAGCACCCTTTTGAGCTACTACAGCCATGAGTCTTCTTGGGAATGATGCAACAAGTTTTTCACACCTGGATTTGGGGATCCTCTGCCATTCTTCCTTGCAGATCCTCTCCAGTTCTGTCAGGTTGGATGGTGAACGTTGGTGGACAGCCATTTTCAGATCTCTCCAGAGATGCTCAATTGGGTTTAGGTCAGGGCTCTGGCTGGGCCAGTCAAGAATGGTCACAGAGTTGTTCCAAAGCCACTCCTTTGTTATTTTAGCTATGTGCTTAGGGTTATTGTCTTGTGGAAGGTGAACCTTCTGCCCAGTCTGAGGTCCTGAGCACTCTGGAAGAGGTTTTCTTCCAGGATATCTCTGTATTTGGCCACATTCATCTTTCCTTCAGTTGCAACCAGTCGTCCTGTCCCTGCAGCTGAAAAACACCCCCATAGCCTGATGCTGCCACCACCATGTTTCACTGTTGGGATTGTATTGGGCAGGTGATGAGCAGTGCCTGGTTCTCTCCACACATACCGCTTAGAATTAACACCAAAAAGTTCAATCTTGGTCTCATCAGACCAGAGAATCATATTTCTCATAGTCTTCATGTGTTTTTTGGCAAACTCTATGCTGGCTTTCATATGTCTTGAACTGAGGAGAGGCTTCCGTCGGGCCACTCTGCCATAAAGCCCCGACTGGTGGAGGGCTGCAGTGATAGTTGACTTTGTGGAACTTTCTCCCATGTCCCTACTGCATCTCTGGAGCTCAGCCACAGTGATCTTTGGGTTCTTCTTTACCTCTCTCACCAAGGCTCTTCTCCCACGATTGCTCAGTTTGGCTGGAAGGCCAGGTCTAGGAAGAGTTCTGGTCGTCCCAAACTTCTTCCATTTAAGGATTATGGAGGCCACTGTGCTCTTAGGAACCTTGAGTGCTGCAAAAATTCTTTTGTAACCTTGGCCAGATCTGTGCCTTGCCACAATTCTGTCTCTGAGCTCCTTGGGCAGTTGCTTCGACCTCATGATTCTCATTTGCTCTGACATGCACTGTGAGCTGTAAGGTCTTATATAGACAGGTGTGTGCCTTTCCTAATCAATTCCAATCAGTTTAATTAAACACAGTTGGACTCCAATGAAGGAGCAGAACCACCTCAAGGAGGATCAGAAGAAATGGACAGCATGTGAGTTAAATATGAGCGTCACAGCAAAGGGTCTGAATACTTATGACCATGTGATATTTGTTTTTCTTTTTTAATAAATAATAATAATCTACATTTCTGTTTTTTTCTGTCAAGATGGGGTGCTGAGTGTACATTAATGAGAAATAAAATTAACTTTTTTGATTTTAGCAAATGGCTGCAATGAAACAAAGAGTGAAAAATTTAAAGGAGTCTGAATATTTTCCGTACCCACTGTACTTGTGGGGCTTTTAGCTTGATCTTTGATCTAAAATGCAGGACATTCACTTCATGGCAATAAAAACCTTTCATGAGACAATGTAGGACAATGGGACAGAATATATTTACGGGAAGGGAGAATACATTCTTAAGCTTTAAGAGGTGGCAAGAATGCCAGCTGTAGAACTTTTCCAGGAACTCTTTTCCAACCTTGTTGGCCTGAAACATTTAGCTTCAGAAAAAAACAAAATGTTTAGTTTACAGATTTTTACTAGACATACGTTTTCCCACTGGACATATGTAAAAACTCCCAAGGGGGACTTATAGATGAAGACAACCATCTTTTGTCCACCAACTACTTGCAGCAAAGATTTCAAATTAACTAAAATAGGAAACAATTTCAGTTTATCTGAAAGGAGAAACAATGGCTATATGTCCTCTGATCTCAAATCAATATAAAACAAGACTAAAACCATCTACAGCCATTGTGAGGCTGTTCAGCTAAATGCTAACATTGCCATGCTAACATGGTCACAATGACAATGCTAACATGCTGAT